TGCCATATCTTTACCCTCTCATAATTTTCCCTCACTTAATTTATACGTTTCTATATGATCGCATGACGGGGTATAATTACTACTTTAATCAGTAAAAAAACCGAGTTCTTATTATTAATTAAAGTAGGATTATGAGCCATAAAACTCCGTCTTGACATCCTATAAAAACGAAGAATAATACCCTTATTTCGCCGTTGCGGGAAATAAATACTGGATTCAATGTACCTAATCAAAATATAATAACTTATTGACTTGGTCCGATTGTCGATTTTTTTGTACTCGATTCAAATAATTGGCCTTTAATTTTCATAGATTTCGGTGTTAAATTACTGAAAATGCCTAGACTCCTTTTTTAGTTTCAATAGATTTTTAATCGTGGTTCATAACGGGTAATTCATTGAATAATTTAACAATAAGAGATCGAGGACAATATAACTAGTAAGGTATCAATAAGGTATCATTGATTTTTACTAAGGTTTTTAAAAACTATTGGGTTGAATTTCGATAGAAATCTTGTCGAAATGTTTATTGTTTACAATTCAAACTATATAGTAACGTCATAATTCAAAAAAAAAAAAGGATTTTAATCCCAACAATTAATAAATTTCATCGACTTTTTCACGATGAATAGCAAATGATGGTGTTACCCATGTACCGCAAGAACATTGCATCCCTATCAATTATTATTTATTGTTTGATATAAAAATTTATGTTTAAATAAAATAATTAAATAAATGATTAAGTAAAATTTATTAATCCTTTGCTTACCTGCCCAATTATAATTTCCTAATTTTGCTTTACATTTTGGACATTTAATCTTTCCATCTAATTCATTTTCTTCTTTATCATTTTCTTCTTTATCATTTTGATTATCTTCTGAAAATATCCAATCTAAAGGTTCAACAAAATATGATGAACATAACGGTTTAGAATTATATTTATCTCTCATAACTGATGAATATGAATTATCCCGCTTTTTGTATGAAAATGCCGTTTGACCAGATCCTTGGGTGTGCGTGACAAAATCTTTTGTTGATATTAATGTGCATCTTTTTAGAAATATTTTAGGTAATTGAAATTAATGTAGTTAATATTTATTAATATAATGTTTCAAAAGAATTAATACAATATATTTAAAGGGAACTGATATCTCCGCACCTCTTTTTGATATTTCCACACCCATGTAGATTACTTTTTAAAAAAAACTTTGATCAAAGGTATCTCGATAATAATCCAATCAAAATCGATAAACCTTTTTTTTTTTTTATTGAATTCTACGGATACATATAATTCAAGTAAAAAAAAATTCATCGAATTTGGTTGGATGGTTAACAAGATACCTTCGATCAAAGTTTTAAAAAATTTTAAACGTCTAATCCGCGAGAAATTTGAAATGAATTTGAGAATTTGAACGAAGGTATTCTCGACAATCATCGAATTTGGTTGGATAGTTTTCAAGATACCTTTGATCAAATTTTTTAAAAAAATTTTCCATTTGTATTTTACTAATTCATGGAATTCAAATAAAAATATCATTGAATTTGGTTAGATGGTTGCCGAGATACTTTTGATCAAAGTTTTTTTTTTTAAAAAAAGTGATCTATATGGGGTGTGGAAATATCAGTTCCCTATTTAAAGAAAAGAATTTTGGATTACTTTTTGATTAACGTTAAATAATAATTTGAAACGATAGAATTACCGGCATTTTTTGCACTTTAAAGCAACTAATCGTGATTTAGTATTTGTTTCTTCTTGCTTCGATTCTGAAATTTCATCTATCTCTGTAATATTATATAAAGTAATGAAATTTTTCTTGTTATCTTTTTCTTAGGAAAAAAAAATCTCATAATTAATTTAAATTACCTTCTTTTACATCTGTCATGATTATTTATGTTATCGTTATGCTAAATGTGAAAAAAATCAGAAATTAGAAAAATCAGGTTAAATCAGGTGAAAGATGTCTTACGTACTTCTGTACTTACGTATGTACCAGTATTCCAAATTAAGATCGTCATTGTAACCGAAATCGTCACACACAAATAAAATCATAATAATAATAATTACTTTCTTTGTCTTATGTTAACAGCTTTTTCTTTTAACAAAAAAAAAATTTACGTAGATTAAAAAATTTGAACTAAATATAACTTAGGTATTTATCATCACCATCTTTTTTAAGTTAACATGATATTTAATTCAAAGTGTATTAGAAAGAATTCAACTTTCTCTGTTCAGGAAATTCTTCCTACCTAATGATAAATTCTAATTTATATTATGTTGCAAAAAAAATATAAATTATTATTATTTTATTTTAAAATCTATTTCGATCTATATGATTAACGATCTCAAATTAAGGTATTTTAATATAAATATTAAATTCAAAATATATTTATAAAAAAAAAGTAATTTAATAAAATGTGTTTTATATAAGAAAGCAATGAACAGTAATTCAAAGCATTATTATTGTCCCGAATGTGACCAACAATTAAACGATAATTCAAGATGGTGTAAATCATGTCAACAAAGACATTTTGAAGAAAATTTTGATAATTGGACATCTGGTGATAATGATATAGATGAATTTATTAAAGAAACTCAAATGAAAGCCGATGATGCTGATCAATATTTAGAATGGATTCCTTTTTCTGCTTTTATTAATGTTACTAAATCTGATATTTCTGAAGCTGGTTCTTTATTTACTGCTAATTGGGTTAGAGGTCCTGCTGATACTTGGGATCC